GGGGTGCGCCCCCCCCCCCCCCCATGCGCACCTAGAGCCCGCCGCGCTATAAAGGCGGCCCCTGTCCGCCGCGGCACCTCCCTCCCTCCCGCCCTCCCTCGCCCGCCGGCCGCTCGGTTGGTCAAGCGGTGTGTGTCCCCGAGTGCCACGCCGGTCGCCCCCTCGTTCCCTCCCTTGGTTCTCAGGCGCTGCCCGGCTCTTTTCCTTCCCGCAGGCCCGGCGGAGGTGATGGATTATTCCTACGACGAGGACCTGGACGAGCTGTGCCCCGTCTGCGGGGACAAGGTCTCCGGCTACCACTACGGGCTGCTCACCTGCGAGAGCTGCAAGGTAAACGCCGCGGCCCGACGGGACCCCCCCACACACACACCGCCCCTTCCGAGAGAGCCGGGTTCAGGTCTCCCCCTGCACAGCCGGAGGGCCCCCTGCCCCCAATACCCCTGGAGAGGGAAAGGGGCAGAGGAGGGAGCCGGCACCGACGCCCCCCCCCACCAGGGTTGAGGGCGGCAGAGGGGACGGAGAGGAGAGTCGCCGGTGGCCCCCCTTTCGCCCCAGTGCATGCAAATCGATTTACTTCTGAGTAAACCGCCTAAAGCGAGGCCCGCTGGTCGAATTCTCATAACCGCCGGTGGGCTGAAGGGGAGGCGGCAGGGGAGGGCCCGCAACCCGCCTCCGGAGCCGCAGAATCAGCCACCTTCTAGGGGAGCCGAGCGGCGCTTCCTTCGGCATCCCCCGCCGGTCGGGAATCGATGAGGCCGGACCCGCTCTGGGCGAACGAAATTGAGAGGAAACCCCCCCCCCCGGAGGGGGGAAATATGAGCGAAGCGCGTTTAACCTCCGAATAGCAACGATGGCAAAGAATGTATTTTAATGACAACACCAGAAGGTGTCTTTCTTGCTAACAATCGTGCCGCGCAAGGTCGTATAATTAATGATGGTGATAATAATAACAACAACAACAATAATACTAGTCGAAGGAGGCCGTTCGATTGGTTCTCAGTATTCTTCGTGTGGGACTCTCTGCCGGCGGTTCTGGGCGGTGTTTCCTGCGCCGAATTTGCGCCCCAGCCGCGGCTTGGCCGGAGCTCCCCTGGACGGGGTCGTGGCGGCCGCCGGCCTCTGCGCCTTCGGGCCGCGGAGGGGATCCGTCCCGCCCGTTGCAGGGAAGTGGCGCCCAGCGCCTCCCGCTTCCAGCCGGGCTTGGCCGGGGCGGGGGAGCTCGTGGGCCCCCGATCCGCCGGGCTTCGAGGCTGCCCTCCGCCGTTCCTTTCGCCCCAGACCAGTGGAGGCGGCGGCGGCGTCCCCCGAGGATCGTCAAGCCTCGATTCGTTGTCTAGAACAGGCTGGCGGGGAAAACCCGCGTCTCTTCTCGTCCACCTCGTGAGATCCGTTTGTCTTTCGGCTCGTTTTGGAAGGAGGGAAGCCGCCGCCGCGCCAGTTGGATGTTGCCCCGCTTCCCCGCGGTGGGATTGGTCCGGAAAGGCCCCCGAGAGCTGCCAAAGCTGCGGCTCCGAGCAATGTTCCCTCTAAGCTGTGGAGTCCTGTGAGCAAAAATTCTACTTTGTGAGCTCCTGGCATTAAAGCTGTGAGCAAGCGATTTGGCTACTGCATAAATGAGTTTGCTCTGGAGCCCTCCTTCCTGAGCGGAGACAAAAATGTGTGAGCCGGAGGCTGAAAAACGGTGAGCTAGCTCACACTAACTCAGCTTAGAGGGAACACTGGCTCCGAGTGGCCCTTTTGGCCGCGGGGCGCCTCTCCGAACGGGAGCTGCGGGATTTGTGTCAGGAGAGCTCAGTCAGGAACGAATTCCGAATGTAAACGGGGAATCGCTCGAGAAGGAATCGAATCGGTTCCTTTTACCTGCCAAAGCCCGGCCAGCGGCTCTCTTTCCAGCCGAGAAAACGGTGTCGAGCCGGGATGTCTCCCGGGGTCTCTCCCGCCCGCCCTCCCGCCCTCCCGGTTTTTGAGAGCCGGTCCCCAAAGGCGAAGAGGGAGCTGGAGGGCGGCCGCTCTGCGGGACAAGGCGAAAGCCGCCGGGGACACTTCAGGCCTGGCGAAACATCTGCCAGCTGCCCTGCTTAGCCAGGCGCCCCCCCCCAATTCTAGGAGAAGGTGGGGAGGAGGTGGGGGCTCTGTCGAGAGGGACGGGCGTGGAGGGGGCGGAAAGGCATTCGGGTGCGGTTTCGCTTTTCGCCGTCCAGGGGCCGAGGGGAAGGCATCTCTCCCCACCGCCAAGCCAGCCAGCCGCCCGGAGACAAACCCAAGGGGCGCTGCGGGCTGACCCACTGAGGGGTGGGGCCGGAATAATGAGGCAGGGAGGTGGCTGCGTCTTTGCCAGGCCTTCCAAAGTGGACGACCCCTTCCCCCCACCCCCACCCCAATCTTGACGGCTGGTTTATGAACCGAAAACCTTTCTCCATTGTCCTTGCCCTCCCCCCGCCACCGGCCTCTGTGTTGCCTCTCCGTGCATTTCTAAAACGAGCTCCGAACAGCCCCTCCCCTGCTTTCTAAGGGGAAAAGGTGGACACCGAATCGTGCTCTCTGCATGTGCCCAGAGGAGTGTTTCTGATGCTCTGCTCTCTGCTGCGGTGCACAGGGGAGGGAAAGGCCCACTCTGTGCATGCTCTGTTGCTCCTTTGATTGCTTGTTTGCATAGTCCGGGATTCAGCCCTGGTACCGGAGACTTAGACTGAAGGCGGGTTTACGGCCAGAATGTGCCTTTCGAACCATATCGCTAGCACAAGACCCGAGTGCGTTTAGTGGTTGTGAGGAGGAGGGGATTTCCGGCGCCCTATAGGCTGGCCTGGAATGGCCTTCTGCACAGCTTGACAACAGTCCTGTGAGGTAGATCAATATCTTCATCCCCAGAGCCTAGAAAATAGAGAGAGAAGCTCCCTAGAGAAGGGGCTTTGGACCGGTGGAAGTCTCTGCTCAGCTCATTCTCTTGCAAGGGCCTGTCCCTCGCCTCTCCGGAGCCGGCCCCAGAGGCCATGGGGATGGCCTGTGGCTGTGTTCCAGGAGGGCAGCCATGCCCGTCTGAGGCCCCTCGGCTGGCAGCTTCCGGAGGGTAGTGGCGCCCCCTTGGTGCCAAAGAAGCCGGGTCCCGGTCGGCCTGCCAGCCCCCCCCCCCCCGCATCTAAGCTCAAGCGCCTCTCTCCGTCTCCCCTCCAGGGCTTCTTCAAGAGGACCGTGCAGAACAACAAGCACTACACGTGCACCGAGACGCAGAGCTGCAAGATCGACAAGACGCAGCGCAAGAGGTGCCCCTACTGCCGCTTCCAGAAGTGCCTGACGGTGGGGATGAGGCTTGAAGGTAAACCCGGGCCCACCTCCGGCCCTCTCTTGCAGCCTAGGAGCTATCCGACTGCAGGTGGTCTTTGATCGGCAGGACCCAGGCCAGACAAACGCGGCACCATGTTTTCTGCCCCGGGGGAGGAATTTCCTGTGCGAAGGCATCCTGTTGGCCTTACGCAAAATATCCAGAGCTTTCTCCTCTGCCCTCCAAGCGTGTGTATTTAAAAATAAATAAATAAATTAGACTGGAGAGGGCCTATCCCCGGATGTTTTCCTTTTAAATCTGTTTCCTCAGCACTGGCCCAGAAAGCACCTTACAAAAGGTTTCTCTGCCGGTCTGGGAGGATTCACACGTGGCCAAACAAATCCCTGAGGTCTTAAAGGACTTTTCAGAGCAACGCCTGAAAACACCCATAGTATATTCAGGCCGTGCTTTCTTTATGCTCTGCCTCCTCCTGCTCGGTTTGCGCCATGTGCAAGGCGATGAGCATCACAGGGTAGCGCCTACCTTTACCGAAGTATCTCAGGCAAAACACGGGCTGCCAAGAGCCATGGACACAAGCACGGAGGAACAGTGTGCAGATGCTACTGTCTGGAGGCAAACTAGAATTTTTAAATCATGGGATATCATGGGATAGGGCGGGATATAAGTGCAATGAATAAAATAATATATATATCGATTTGTTTTGCAGGGTTGTTTTTTTTTAACTTGAGTCAGGTTTTTCTAGGGCTCAGCCCCAGAATCTGGTTTCAGTTCCAAGGCTCAGGCTGGGAACAGCTACCTAATAAAGACAGCATCTTTGTACATCTGCAAAGAGTCTTTCCTTCCCACAGTAACGAAAGATGGAGAGCAGGACTTTCAGTTCAGTTCCACTCCAACTAGCTGTTAAACTCAGACTTAAGGAAAATATAATAACTTGGCTGGCATCAAAACCAAAAGCGGGGTGGGGAATGCTCCCTGCAGCGGAGTGCGGTGGGGAGGCGGGCGGAGGCTTCGGCTTCCGAGGAGGTGCTGGAAGGCCTGGAACAACAGAAAGTGAAAGCGGAGGATTCCTCGGCTGGGGGGGGGGCGGTGCT